AAATACGGTATACTTGTAGGGTCAATGAATCACAGCACAGGTCATATATCATTATAGTAATGTGTAACTATATATAACTATATATATATTATATATTCATATTTAAATTTGAGTCACAGTTAGAGTTATAGCTGTTTCCTAGGGCTGCTATGTTGGCTTCTGGTCCAATACAGGCCACAAGCTGGTTGAACAAAGATCCTGCAGAAAGACCTCTGGTGAAGATGACTTCTCATGAGCATTCTCCAGCAGTCTTTGTGTTGGACGTCTATTCCACGCTGCTTCTTGATGTGCCGACAAATGCATGTCCTGCTTTGAACGGCTTGCCTGGCTCTGGATTTGACGATCGCCAGCTTGCTTCACACCAAGTGGAGAGTGGTGCGCTGAACAAGTTGTTTTTCTCCATTGTGGCGACTGCATCCGAGTTTGCCTACAGGCTGTGGCTTCCATACAAGCAGTTTCCCTGGTGCTTGGCACAGCTCAGTGACCCACGGTGTTCGACACAACAGAAAGAGCTTATTGAGAGAAAACTGTATCATACAAATATGTGCTGTCTGGATGAGAGCTTTTCTGTTCGATTGCGCTCAATACCTAGAGAGTCTGTGGCAGAAGTATGTGAAGTCATGACTTTTCAAAAGATTCAGAACATGGAGATTGAAGACAACTTCAGCAGGGCGGCTAGAATGAGAGCTTCCACTGCAGGCAACTTGAATCATATTAGCATATTTGCTTGCAACCACTTGTGTTGCCAGACAGTGTTGAATGCTACAAAATAGTGTGGTGTTGATACACTGTTGTTGTTGGCGTTGCTGCACTGTATCTTTTGTTAAGCTATAGTTTAAGTTATAGTTATATTATAACTTATATTAATATACCATGATTTGTTGTTGTTGTTCTATGTTGCTGGTGGTCTCTCGCTGTTGCACTCTGCTGGTGCTACTGTTGTTGCTGGTGCTCTGTTGCTATTGCACTGTTGTTTTCTTGTTGCTGGTTTTGCATTGTTTCCTTGTTGTCTTGTTTGCATTTGCATTGTTGTTGACAGTTGTCATTTCAATGACAGGCCGTGGATGCTTCGCTTCGAGTGCAGCGGCCAAACATGTTCTGGCTGAGTTGAAAGCGAGCCACATCCAGGCAACACTGTTGGATAGAGATGAGTCGAAGGACCAGTGCATTCCACAACACCGTGACAAACCAGACAGATCATGTCTACCGCTGCCAACCCTGAACGCCAAATCAGCATCCAGTGTTCTTCAGCGGCTTGAGCGTGGGCTCTCTTTTGAAACTAGCACTAGCGATTCAACGAGCTTCTCAGGAATGAGCACAAGCAATATGAGTTGTACTTTGGCCTTGTTCACACAAAGTTTATTATTTTATCAAATCTTGAGAACAAACCGTATTGTGAAACTAGCAAGTTTGATTGGTTTGAATCTACTCACCGCCGTTTCAAGAGTGGCTAATGATTTATCAGTCCCCTACGGTGTCATCAATGCAACTCTGTGTGGGTACAGTGTGATACTAGACAAACATAACATAGGTATTAAACACTGCTAATTAACTTCATGATATATTAAAAGCAACTATATGATTATATAATATATTCAGTTATGTTCAAATCTATTTTAGTGTGTATATCAATCAAGTTTTGCTTGCAGGTCAATCTTCAACGTCCGAAGTGACCAAGGGTCTTCGCGAGCTAACAGAGCTGACTGATGGGCTAGATGCAGGTCGTTATCAACGTATCAGCCAGACTATATTGAAACAGCCTGAAGAGAACACGTTGAAGAACACTGCCAAAACCAATGGATGGCTTTTGTTTTTGAGCGAGAAGAGGAACAACACGCCTCGGCTTCCGGGGGAATCACATGAAGATCATCAGAAACGCATCATGCGCGTGGCATCACATGAGTGGAATGCAACTTGTCGGAAGTGTGTACCTGTTGTGTTCTCACTATGTTTGTCCAATAGATATCTGTTCATTGCGCAGTTCACCACTTGCCGCAATGCATGCAACCGCATTGAAAGACAATAACATAAACATAGACATAGACTAAACCATTGGTTAAACTATTCAGACTTAGCTCTTTTGTTCCATTGTCATTGTTATTGCTAGTGTGATTTATGTTGGTTGAATAAAATTGTAGAGACAGGAAACTAAACTGTTTCCTAATTGTACTGTAGTCTATATATATATAGCCTATAACTGTGTGTGCGCCTGTTGTTTGTTCTTTTTTTTGCTTCACGTTGAGGCCAATGGAGCTATCCGACTGAACTACTCTGCCAAGGCAAAGACTAAAAACAAGCATTGTCAAGCCTTGAGTGTACCCATCCAACCATTGCAAGATGAGCTGGACAATGATGGATTTGGATTGCAAGGAGTGGGAGACAGAAATCATCCTGTTTCGTGTGATTTGCTGCGTCATTTGCAACAGCAACACAAAGCTTTCGTCAAGCGATGTAGCTCTGCTTGGAGATCAGAGCTTAGTGACATATGTCCAGATGGAAAGTGCCCTAGCTGTTCGCTGAAAAAAATACACTGCTCATTGGACTTTTGCTGGACTGCTTCGAAGGCTAGGTTGGTGCCAGGACAGGTGCGATTTGTGACCGGCTTGTTGAAGAACATTTTGCGGAGCATGCGGCCTCAAAGCATTCGGAAAGCATCCCGACTGATTGCAGGGGATGACAAGCATCCACTCCTATTAGTCAACTTTCCTGAGCAGATGCACGGGTGGCTTGTTTCCAGACCTTGTTTCAAGCCATTGACTCTACATGGGTGGCGTGTGGACGTCCCGAATGAGTTGCCAGATGGGAACAATTTTGTTGCACAGCTTTGCT